ATTCTAAAAGTATAGTTTAAAATAACAGTTATTAGATTTAATATTATTAATAAGCTTTTTAATTTATTTTATAAAATTTAATGTATCAGAAATGACAATACAGTCTATACTTCTTAACAATCTACCAACAATATTCAATTTAAATATTTGTTATTCTTTTCTTTATCTAACTTCAAACTGCTTATATTGTAATCAATATAAAAATACTAAATACTTACTTCTATATTCACTTTATCTTTATAACCTTAAGAACATTCTTATTAATAAGATTACCAATGTTTTAAATTCATTAAATCTTCTAAAAACTTATTCAAATACAGTATTACAAATTCTTTATCTACAAAACCTTTACTTTAACTTTAGCATATATAATACAATTCTTCTATTTATATAGAGAATAATAACTCTTAACTAATATATATAATTGCAATTAATTCTAAAAAAACTAATAACTTTCTTATCTTTCTATCTAATTTCCTACTTAAATAGTTCAACTCTTCTATTTGACAAACTCATAATATTAAACATTATGAATAGAAATTAGTACAAGAAATTTCTGCTTCTACTAAAAAAAAAACAACATTCACTTATCTATCTCTTAATCTTCAAATCTTAATAATATTACATTTATATTCAATACTAATATAGATATCTTTATTTCTAAAATCTTGTTTCAAAATTTCAATATATATACTTGTTTTTATTAATTAAACTATTCTTAAAGGTTTCTTTTTTATTCTTTTCTGTAGTTAATAATTGACATAACTAATGTTAATATTGATTAATGTTAAAGTTTATATAATGATTGACCAATAATAAGTTATGATTAAAAAATTAAAAACAAATATTAATTTTAAAAATATCAAAAATTTGTATTGAAGTACCTTTAATGTATTAGCAAAAAAAGGTTTCTTTGTAATTTATTATATAGCTCACTAATCTCTAATCTTAATATAACTTCTAATACTAATTTAAACATTAACTTTAATATAAATGAACTTTGTATATGACATTAAATTTTTTTATTATATGTTATGTAAACATTAATATCAACCAAATTCAGTATTAGTTATGACATATAATTAATAGAAGTTAATTTAACTAATAATAGAAAATAAAAGAATAATATCATACTAAATGTCATTAATATATAATAACAATAAAGTAGTTTAGAAATAATACTTAGCTATACATTTATATCCAATTGATATATTCATGTATTTTCATTTTTCCTACTTGATATTATATAAATAAAAAATAAAAAATAAAAAAAAACCTAGTGATTGCCAAGGTATTTTTAAAAAACATTGTGTTAACTATATAAAATTCTAGTTAAACAATACTATTGTTTATATAAAATTTTATATAATCAACACAATGTTTTTTAAAAATATCTTTACAATCATTGGGTCAATTGAATAATCTAACTACTATTAGATGTGTCTTGACAAGCTTAACAACTTTTGTCTAAGTAAGAGCAATTAACTTAATATGAAAAAAAAGTTTTAGATATAAACACGTTATGTTTACAACCCTCTAATTTCTATAAGTGATTTGCGTCACGTTACACTATGATCATGCACTAGTTTGACTGGCGGATTAATTAAATCAAAAAAATTTTTATTAAAATTTTTGCTTGGTTTCTATTGACTCACAAAAAATATAATTTATTACAGTCCTAATTTCACTTCGATTTATCTTTTAAAACCTATGATTTGATTGGCTGATCAACATGAACCTCGTGTAACATTTGACGGTTCCTCCTATTATCATGCCCATTTGTTTTGTTAAATATTTTCGCGCCAGCAAAAATGTCAGTAAATACAAGTAAAGAACTTTTAGACTTTGAAGACTGTCAAGAAACTATTATAGAGAAAAAGATTGGTGAGTTTATAACATGTCACGTCAATTAATACTTTTGATTATCACGGTATTTTTTTAATCAAATCGCCCAAACTTTATTTCATATGAAGTTGGTCTTTTAAAAATGAAGACAAAAAACAAATCCTCGAATAAAAGACCAACACATGGAAAACTGGAAACATTTCCTTTGGAACCACCTAGTGACTGTATTGCAAAAAAAAAAAAAGCCAATTTTTATCAATCTTTGTTACAGCACGAACACAGTAATAATCTTATTTTAATAATAGTGTATTCAAGGATTACCGAATTCTTATCAGAAGACGACGAAGAAAGACAAATTTTCAACGTTAAGCATATTGAAGAGAATGATAAAAAACTAATAGTGAGAAAAGAACCAGGAAATTTGAAAACTTTTCCTTTGAAACCTCCTATTGAATGTAATTATTTTTTGAAATTGGCAAAATTTCTTCTTCAAAAAAAAGCCAACTTAAGTACCATCATTTTGGCTATAGTATATTCGAGGGTTAAAGAGTTCTTACCACGCATCGCATCAACAAATAAACAACTCTTGAAAAAAGATCAAACTAGTATTAATATAGAACATATCGAAGATGACACGGAATACGTTATTGAATGGGTAACTAGAACAAATTCATTGCTTGGTTTATACACTATTCTCGTCCCTTAATTGCAATCCCATTTTATATGAAACCAGGATCTAGGAGTTGGTGTGTTTGAACACAAAAAAGAACCTTCCGAGGATGACATTATAGTCGGCTCCAGCTCTAAGCCAAAAGGAATAACCTTTAAACCAGTACTATAAATATTTTAAGATGAATTAGTTCTTAAATTGAATAATACAGACTGAATCAAGTCACATGCTAAATTTATGCATGGTGTCTAAATTATTTTGTTTAAAAAAGTAATTTTGCCCAACATTTCATCTTTTTATACGAGGCAGAGAATTATAATGGATCCAATTTGTGATTTACTATACTATCTGATATACATTCAACCTCCTAAAACTGATAACCTGTGATAACAGATAAAAAATTGAGCCACCATGTCTTATAAGTCAAACCTGAACCTGATAACTGATACAGTCAAACCCCCCTAAATGCACCCTTTCTAAATGCATCACCCCTCTAAATGCATGATATAAGTCCGGGCCCATGGCGAGACTTATAGATAAATGCACGTTCTTTATTCTGTAAGTGCACGCTAATTGCCTGGTCCACTTATAAAAACTCTCTCCATAAATGCATCCATGTGATTATTAGCCAATCAAATCCATAATTTCTAGGCTATTAATGCCGTAATAATAGTCACATTGTGATTTATTAATTGCAACCAGGGCTTAAACGACTATATTGAAATGCCGGCCATTCAAAAATATCATTCTTGATTTATAGTATAATTGGCTGGTATAGTAAACAATAAGATGAATCAAGAAAACAATAGGCTGCAGGCCGGCAAATTACTATAGGATTTTAAGCCCTGATTGCAACCCTTTCTAAATGCATGCTCTAGAGCCGGTCCCACTTAGGAAGGTCTGACTAAGGTCTGATTGTACTTAAAAATTAAATATTTGGTTGTCACTAATGCTAAAAGAAAACCAGCACTCTAAAAATAGAATTATTATATTTTATATAATTATTATTATTATTATTATTATTATTATTTTAGGTTTAAGAAAAAAACTCTTTTTGTAGATCATTGAAAAAACAAAAAAGTAAACAAAACTAGTACTAAAATATTGAGCATATTAATTAAAATAGAACAAAAGATATTTAAAAAAGAGAAAAAATAAACTTTCAGAATATCCAAGACTTATTCAATATAGCCAAAAGACAAAGAATCTCAATTACTAAATTACAAGATTTCAAAACTTCTCTTAACACTGACTTAGTGCTGCTACTTTTGCAAATGGATCCTTACAGGGTCTCAGTTCAATTGAATACCCAAGTTACACCAGTTACATCTTAAGTCCTTTCAATTGAAAGACCTAAAAAAAATGCAGAACTAGAAACAAACTTCTCTCTTTTAAAAAAAAATAAAACTATCAATTCTAACTCTTTTGTTTCTTTTACACTCTATTTTTGTTGAAAAAATTTAACAAAAAGTGGGCAATTCAGTTTACTTTTTACAAAATCTCAAATAATGTCACATACTACAGTCATCAAAACAAACATGCTCAACACAATGAATATTCTCACATCTTAAAACCTTATTATCACATTACCCAATCCATCATATTTGACATTTGTACCTAATAGTTTTATTCCAGAAAACAATTTATAGAATTCTGAACCAATTACACTTACAGAAACCCTACTAACTCAATCAACCTCTATGTTAACTATACATACTGACAACATGGATACCATCTCTAATACTTTTAAAGATTATCAACAAGTTACCAAGTAATCATACAGCAAAACATTAATATTCAACTTACCAAAATCAAAAAACAACATAATCTTCGATTGATGTAATTCTGTAACTAAAGCCTTTGTTATAATATGAGTACTTAACTTTGATCTTCAAACTTGGAACAATGATAAAATGATTGAAGTCTTTAATAACAAACAATAACTTCTGGAATTCTTTACTTATAAAATCCAAATTATCCCTTCAAATCGTAATATTCTATATGCTATTAACCAAAAATTTAATTATCTAGATATAGCATTCTTTCGTTTCTTTATAAAAACAAAAGTTACAGTTTCACAATATCAAAAAGAATTCAACTCATTATACCAAATCACTCTTGAAAAATACAAAAAATTACACAATACTATTTTGATCAACAAAGTTAATAGAGACCAAATCTACAAAAAACTTAAAATCAAACTTGCTTTAAATTATATTAAAAACTTAGATTTTCTTACAACAAGTTCCTATAAATGTACAAGACATATATTCTACTGCCTCAACCTTGTACAAATCTCTTGTGCACTTACTTTTAAAGAAACACAAAAACTTCTGAATGAAGCATACTCTCAACTTCTTATTCTATTACCAACTTCTTTAGATCTAATTAACCAAAACATAAAAGAAATACTTTCTTTTCTACTTCTAATTGAAGATCGAAAATTTATATGAGCAACAGTGCTAGCATTTTATAAAATCTATACTTTCAATCAACTCAATGACAGCTACTTTGCTAACCTTATTATTTCTCTTTCTAATAATTCAACTGATCTAAACACAAAAACACATGCAATGTTTCTAATAACAAGCTGATCTGAATTACCCTATCTAGCAGAATACAAACAAAAACTGTGCAAATATTATAACTTTGATCTTATATTATCTAATTATTTTAACCTACCACCTACTTGGAAACTCTTACTATCAACACCTCAAAATCTTAATTTAGCTGTAAGACACTTCTTTTCTTGCAACTCTAAAGATTCAACTGATTTTAAACAAAATGTAAACATTCTCTGAGAGCATTATAGTTTTTACAAAATTCCAAATGACTACTTCATCCAAAAAAAACTACTTTCAAAAGAACCAAATTAAATCAAAACTTCTATTACTTATAGTTTTCCTATAACTAATTATCATCTGACAAAGGAATTCTTAGCAGAAATACAAGATACATATAAATTCAACATCCTACTATTACTAGAGTATATGACTGTTAATTCTACAAACAAACCTCAATTATTTACAGATTCTATTTTGATTACTGAGCTTAATCTAACACACCCTATTACAAGCCCTAAATACTAATAGAAACTACTAGACAACTCCATATACATTACTTCTTCTACCAACTGTCTACAGAATGGATCTTAATCAATAATACTACAAGAAAAGAAAATACTAAACCAAACCTTCTTTCAAGTCTTGATGAAATTCAAACAGCCTTAAGAGAATTAGATTAATCTCAAACTATTCAACTACCAATAATAACATACGAACAGATAGAAGACATCATCTTACAACTTCATAATCAATTTTCTTTTCAAGGTTTACCTTCACAACTCTTTAAACTTTCCAACCTACCTGATCTTCACTGGAATATTTTCGACAACTACTTCCCTCAACAATAAGCTTTATACAATTAAAACCAGATTTACTATCCTCCCAAATGGACAACAACAACTCAACTAATTTACCAAATACTTCTATAAACAATTTCATTATAAATATTAAGGATCATCATAACATTGTTACTCATAATATTTAAAAACTCAATAATTTACTAAAGTTGCAAATATGACTTGAATTCTGTGCTAAAAATAATTACTACATTGTTTCTATTACAGAAACAAAACTAAAAAATTCTTCGTTTGCAGAACTCTCTAATTCACTTTACAAAATTTACATATCAAACTTCATATTCAAGAATAGCTCTCAACATGAAGCCAGCATAGAGACTGCGATCATGCTTCATAACTTACTTCAACCTTTTATATTTAACATATAAACCATCCCAGACACTGCAATCTGTATTGATTTTCACCTTCCTACCAACAATAAACTTTGTATAATTTTATTATACTTACCTTCAAACTACTCAAAATAACTCAAATCTACTCAAAACACAATCATAAATTAGTTAACCCAAGCAAGAAGCAATAACTGGCATACTATTACAATAGGAGATTTTAATAACAACTCTAACAAATGCAAGCAATTAGCAAATCTATTCTCATCACTCCAATCTTTATCATCTACAAGTTTATTAGAATTCTATACTATAACAGAACCAACATGACAAAGAGACTCAAACAAAGTCAGATCAATGACATGTAGGTTAATTCTGAAATCTTTTTAGATTTTATCCCACCCTTAATTACTAACTCAGTTGATATTACTGATAGTGATCATAAAATAATTACTACTACTTGGAAGACAAACTTTCAACTAAAAATACCTAGATCCAAAAAAAAGAAAAGAAAGATATACCTCTATTATCAAATGACAAAAGACATATAAAAAGACTTCAATAACAAATTAGAAACTGAAATCAAGTTAATAAACCTGATTTACAATATTATAACACTACAACAATTAAACAATCTATGGAACAAATGATCAAATTTAATCAAAAAAGTTGCAAATCAAATAATACCAAAAACATATACAGTGTCTAAAAAAACACTACACCTTTTTTCTGAAAGCAACAAAACTACACTTAGCACTTAAATTAACAAATAAATGTCTTTCTATCTTAAAAAATATCAAACCTCCAACTTCAATTCAGTATACAATATAAGATCTAAACATTTTATTTCAACAAATATCATCATACTCAGAACAACCTATTACTTTATACCAAATTCAGGACCTCACTTTAAACTTCAATAATTTTCAACAAACTGTAAAGCAGCTTCAAAAAACCTTATAGAAAGCTTGCAGTTTAGAAATTCAAAATATACAAAAAAAAAAAATAAATTTCTATATACAATGAAGATATAATGACATGAAATCAAACACATCACACATAATAAACAGTATACTTAAACACAATCAAGACCAAGTCTCTTTCAACAAAATCATAACATCAGATAAAATAATTAATAATCCAAAAGAAATAAAACAAGCAACAAAAGAATACTTTAACAACTAGACTAAACACAACCTAACAAATCCTAATTTTGAACATGAATGGACACAGTTCCTTCAACCTTTACTAAATATTAACTCTAACATATACAATAACTTGTTACAACCAATATTAATCTTCAAATTAACAGAAACTATAACATTTTCACCTCTATACAAAGCCACTAGCCCTTCAGAAATATCCAATAAAATGATTCAACATCTTCCAACATCAGCAAAACAAATTCTTCTCCAGATCTT